CAGTCAGGTGCTTTTGCACATCAGACCTTTGCTAAATATTATATGCAACAAACAACACTAACCAGTGCAATGTAAGTTACTAGGATTTGGGGATACAGGTATCATGTTTAATAGGTGGTTTGTCAAGTGCTTCAGGATGAAGTGATCACAAACAAATTATAAGAACGGGGGGTATTATTACTTACAATGTATCAGGACTGCCTACTCCAGAATTACGAGCATTGCAGGGTTTGAATGTTAACACGACTGCTGTGAGAGACCAAAAAACGCTGGGAAAAGCAACTACTGCCCTTGTGTAACTGGAGGCTTGTTTAGGCATCCTTCCTGTTGATCAGATGTATAAATAGTACCAAAGGGCGGTAGCCTACAATATTGGGGGGGAAGGGGGGGCTGCTTTCCACTGTAGATGGAACAACCTACACTACAAAGCAATTCTTTGCAACTGTGGTTTCCTGCTGAAGAGTGTGAGTGGGTAGAGACCCTGATCTGATTCACTATTTAGTTCAAATACTCTCACCACACATGAGCTTTTGCCTTGAAATGGGAGTTGCAGATGAATTGAAATGTCATCTAAGTTCACTGGAGCTGCCGAAATCTGCCGAGCTGCTATTCTGTGATTTACCACGGCCTGCTGAATGAGTTCTGATAGAGAGCTCTCGCCTCCTCCTCCGGACAGATGATGCTGTAACTCAATCCAAGGGCTGGCCTTTGTGACACCGATATCAACAGGGCTGCACGCTAATCGCAAGTGCTGGAAGGCCAGATGGATTGCAGTGGTGCTTGGTTAAAAGGTGACATGCCCCACAATGAGTTCCAGCAGGAGGGGAATTCAAATAGCCAAACCAAGAGCCTCTGAAAAAGGAGATGAATGGAAACGCCAGCACAGCGGAGGGGGAGGGCAGCACTCACACAGTCGGGCTAAGTAGCATCTCCTTTGGGGAGAAGGGAACGGTCATGGAACCCGAAAGATGCTGCCCCATTTGCAACCGGGCTTGGGCTCGGTCTCCCTTCACGATCAGCAGGGAAACTCAAGCTCAGTGAGCAAGGTTTTGCAAGCCTGAGCATACCTCCATTCATCATATTTTGTGAATTAACTTCCCTCCCTTCTGACACCTACCAAGCTGTAACAAGCTGACTGCCCAGAGGGAGCCACCCACGCAGTCCTTTACTCCGCCTCACACAAGCCTGTTGCTTTGGCCAGAAAATCCAAGTTCAGTTTTGCAGCATCTTAGAATCATGGAAGCACAAGGCTAGGAGGGTCCTCCAGTGGTCATCTAGTCCAGCCCTCTGCATCGAGGCAGGGCCAAGTACATCTCGGGAGAGAGCAACTCAGTCTCCCCTCTCCTCTTTCATTAGCAGTATCCTAAAAGCTAAGGGAACAGTGCCCCCTGCTGGCACAGTGTTAGAGAGGCCGGCAAAGAAAACCAGGGTGCTGTTTGATGATATCTAAAGGCTGAGTGGGCATCTTTCTGCACCACAGAGTTCAAAATCTCATCCTTAAAGGCTATGACAATGCAGAACAGCAGTTCTCAGACTGATCAGCAAAGCAGTGGCTGCTGCCATGGGCTGGCTCTCCAGCTCAGCTGTTAAGTCAGATTAAGAGACAACCAACGTCCCTTAACACGTCCCTACTTCTCTTCCATGTGAACATCTGCTGGACTTGGCACAGGACGGTTATGGGATGGGAAGTGGGGCTAAATGATGGCAAATGGAGGGCGAGGGGTGTGGTAAATGGAAGGGAGGCATTCACAGCACAACCCACACTACGAAAAGAGCCCGAGAACTTTTGGGGTAGAACAGGGGTGTCCCATATGGGGTTCAAATGGCTCATAATCACTTACTGAGCCAGATACACATCAGATCAGTGTCCAGGTTGTGGGGCAAGATGGAAGTCTGTCTATGGTCGGGGACAGAAGCTACTAGCAGACTGTCCTTTTAAAATGTAGTTAGTAAAATTTCAGGCCAGCTCTGCCTCATATGACGCCCACTGTGGTCTTTTACCACCAGTCAAGGTGCACGTGGCCATGCTGAACTATGTAGGTGCAAGGGCACGCAGAGGGAGGGGGAGGGAAGCGGGCTTGGAAGAGGAGGTGGGGTGAGAGACCTGGAGGGGACAAGGAGCCGCCTGCAGCTGCCTTTGGGGTGGGACATGTGAGTGCAGGCAGCAGCAGACAGGCAGCGAGAGCCAGGTAGCTACAGCATGTACACAACAGCAACAAGTCACTACCTGTACGTGCAGCACTGACATCTACTCCGGGCACTCACACAGCCCGGGAACGGTTACCCCAGAGCCGCTTAGACAAGCCAGCAGCAGCCAGTCAGTGTTCTTGAGTTACTAGAACTGCCTGCAGCTCCGTCTAGGCCCAGATTTGTACACTTGCCCATAAATACTGCATAGGCAACTGCACACGAAAGCGTGCAAGTTCCACGTTCTATGCATCCAAAGAAGTGAGCTGTAGCCCACGAAAGCTTATGCTCTAATAAATGTGTTAGTCTCTAAGGTGCCACAAGTACGCCTGTTCTTTTTACATTCTAAGCAGGGTCCCTGCCCGGGCACACCGCAGTGACTTTGATCATGGCACTAGCAGCGAATTGGGCACAAACCAAACCCAAATCGAGCGAGCACCTGCCTTCTATAAAAGAGCCACCAACACAGTAACATGCACCAGAAACTGCATTTCAGCCCACCCCCAGGTACAGGCACCTACTGAGCACAGATCGCCAGCTAAAAGAACTCTGGCCTGGTCTGCTTCCAATCACCCTGATCGCCTCCCGTCAGAGCTAGTCACTGTCTACAAAGGGAGAACTGGGTGTGAAATTTGGTTTGATGCAGGGTTTTTGGCACCAGCCGAAGTGGCTATATTTGTTGGTATGAATTTGGGCAAGAACTGACTACATCTGGCAGAGGCCCCCCCCATAGCGAGCAGCCCAGCAGCAAGACACAGAGGAGTGGATGGTGTCACCAAAATGTGCCGAGGTGTCACCAAAATGGATTCCAGCATCTAATTTAGGCTGGAGGTCTTTTGGGACAGGGATCATGTCTCCTCCTCCACCTGCGCAGAGCCTGGCTCAATGGGCTTCCAGTCCCGACAGCGACCAGTGGGTGTTGGTGTCCCCATTAAACATGGTGAGAAGAGTTCCTTTCCAGGCTCAGTTCTGGGATCAGCCCATGAACCAGCCCCGCTGCTGGTGGTCAGTGCCACAGGAGGAGCCCCAGCACCTAGAGCAATAAAGCCACTGCCGACCGCGAGCATGGGGTCGACGGTTACCAAAAAGGGGGAGAGATTGGTGTAACCCTCCAGGAAGTGGGGCCTGGGGTCAGGTCCAGCCTCTGCTGGGTCAGATGGGGATGAGAGAAGCCCCAGGAGTGCTGATGGGCCCATCCCTCCTGACCTTGGAGCCATCTCAGTTGCTAGGAAAGCAGGGAGCCCAACAGGGCAGAGGAGATTCGACAGCACAGGCCTACAGAATAGCAGGGGTTTATTATTACGCGTGTCCCAGGGAAGCAACAGTACAAAGAGTCTCCATTGGCAGAGCACCCAGCTCCGCTCTTAGGTGCCAAACTTCTTCTGTTGGACAGGTGGGGGCAGCTGTGTCTTGATGTCCATCAGGGGCCGCTCCACCACCACCAGGGAGCCCTCCTCCAGCAGGTCCACAAACAGCAGGGGCTGCAGGGCAGGAAGAGGGCGACAAGATTAAAGCTCTTGTCAGAGCTGCTTATGCTGTTCCAAGAAGTGCATCCAGGAGCCGCTGCAGTAACATGAATCAACTCTCCAGCAGCCTTGCCAGACCAGTTCCTAGCCACAGGGTCCAGGAACACGAGCAGTCGTCAGCCTAAGATCCTCTGAAACCCTGCAATTCCCTACACCAGGCAGCCCCATAACCTCAAATCAAGTCCTCTCAACCTACTGCTGTATAAGGTCAATGGGATGGGCACATACTGCTCCGTAGTGACCAGCCTCCAGCAAGGCAGCTCTGGCTTGGTTCAAGAGGTCTGTGCGACAGAGCAGGCAGAAGGGACGTGCTTCATAGAAATGCACACCCAGCAGCTGGTAAGCGAGCCTGGGAGATCCCAGAGGTCTGTCCTGCTGGGGAGGAGCTGAAAGAGGAGCAATACCACCCCCCTCACCCTCCTAAGCATGAGAGATTTCAGGTCAGAAACACCGGGGCACAAGTGCTGTCTCAGGCCCTCTCAGCAGGACTCCGAGCCTCTCCCGGAGGCACCCAGGCAGGCCGAAGAATTGGCCCGGATCAGCTGCATGTGGGGGTGGCTGCTCAGAGTTAAGCCACAAGCTCGTCAGAACATCTAACAGACGCAGCTCCAACGCAGCACCAGACCCTGGGGCAGCTGAGCATCTACCTCTACTGCCCAAGACCCTGCAGGAGGGAGGGAGGGTTGGTTACACCCGACTCCCGTGGCTGGCAGCACGTTTCAAGCCTTTGTGTTTTATACGAAGCACCAGAGAGCGTGTGTGCACGTGCGGTGTCCCATCAGCATCACGTCCCCTGTGAGAACTAACTGACCCTGGGGGGAGTTCAGGGGCTAGACAGGCGCAGTCCTCCAACAACAGATCCCAGACCTCCCTCCACTGACTGACAGGGAACGGGTGTATCCAGCCTGCTCCAGCCTCCATGTGTCAGCCAGCTGGAGCAGCCGTGACTCCCACCCCAAAACCCATGGGCATCAAGTTCAGCTCTCCGGCTGATCTGTTTCCAGAGCCATCCAGCTAGCAGGGCACCCAGGGGCTGATCTTGCTACCCTGGAATCTCAGCTCTGGCATTAGTCCCCGGGGAGTAAACATCCCACTAGGGAAGAGCTGCAGTGCAGCACCTCCCAGCACAAGGAAAAGCTCTCCTGGCTCCCGTACCGGGTGCAGGGGTGAGCTGTGGGCCCAGCAGGCAGCCGCCCATCCCTCCCCAGAGGCGGCCCTCACATTAGCACACTCACCTGGTACTTTTTGCAGATCTTGAAGGCGTGAGCATGGCCCCGCCTGGCCTTCTCTGAGAGTTGCTTCAAGCTAGTCTGATTCATCAGCGGGGTTGCATCGTCGGGGAGAGGCTGGGGAGAAAGCCCACAGTGTGTGTCTCAGCACCCTCCACAAAGCCCCCCATCCCTTTGTTTGGTCCACTCCTCCCGCTGCTCCCACCCAACAAAGGATCCTCTCGGGGGGGGTTTGCTTTGGTTGGACAGGCCAAGCACACAGGCACAGCCATTCTATCGAGATCAAAGCCCCTTGGGGAGCTGTCCGTTGGCACAGGCTATGCTAAAGACAGGCTGCAAACGGGGAGCACTCCCCATCCTGCACATGACAGGACAAGCCCCTGTATTGTGCGGGTGAACACCCAGCGCATTACTCCCCAACCTGCTGCTGCCCCTCCCAAACCAACTGGCACACTAACATCCCGGGCTAAGGCACCAGGCCCATGTGACAGCCCCATGCCTGCCAGGGGTGCGACCTGCCACCCTAAGGCCAAGCACCACTAGCGGCTACAAGAGCCACTTCAGAAGGTATCAGGAAAGCCCATGGGGGAGTGGGGGGACACACTCCACATATTCCCCTGCAGCGCTCCCCTTCCCAGACTCAGCCATTGCTAACAAGGCAGCTTGTGCAAGTCACAGGAGCTGCCGCGCAGCTGAACGCCCATGGGGATGCCCATCGCCTTGCGCTCCAGGGAACGTCCCTTGATCAGACACCCTGTGGGGCAAGGCCCTAACTGGCAGAACAGCTTTCCCTGCTCGCCCCACCTTGTACCACAAGCTGCTTCACAGAAGTGACCCAGGGCCAGGGCTCACCAGTGACTTGTCGAGGATGCAGAACATGTGTGTGTCATGGAGGAGGATGTGCGTTGGCTGCTTGGGGTTAAAGGCGATATGGGTGATGGGCATGTCCCGCTCCAGCCAACCCTTATGCAGCCCGTGCTGCTGCACCTTCCTGCTCCACGTGGTGTATTCTCTGTCGGGGATGCTGAACTCAAACACCTGCAGAGCACAGGAGAGGGGCGGGAAGAAACAGGATTACAGCCCCAGACACAGACACACATACCCCTGGCCAAGTCCCTCCTCCACCCTTCCCCTGAAGGCCAGATGAGCAGTCAGGAACTGCCGGGCTGCTCCACCACCCCACAGCCCGGGCTGACCTGACCCAGCCTCCCCTCTAGGACTGAGGCAACTGGCGGCCAGTCCAGCCGCAAACCACTCAGCTGGCAGCGAGAAGGATGGTGCCCACAATGGGAAGAGTTCCCTGTCACGGGGTTGACATCAGACATTGCCAACTTCACACCTGGACTGTGGCTGGTAAATACCAACATCCCTAAACTGGAACTCCAGCGACTGCAACAGTGACCCACAAACCAGTCAAAGGGGTGCATTCATTCCTGAGAGCCTGGACGCAAGGAACCAACTCTGAGGGCAGGCACGGCGCCCTGGCGGGATGGAGTCCGTATTGCCCAAGCACGGGCAGTTAACGGGAAGCGGAGCAGCAGGTGAGACTGGGAAGCCTGTGCAGGAGATGAGACCCAGGAGACAGCTCCTACCTGCTGGTCCGAGTGGGTGATGACGAGGTTATTGGTCACGGGGTGAATGGCTAGGGCAGTCACCGCGCAGTTGTAGGCAGGCACCGTGCAGTGGGGCTGAGAAGAGAAGACAGGGTGAGATACGGACGTCCGCGGGACCGAAATGCCAGGCTCGCAGTGTCCAAACAGTCCAAGCTGCAATGGACACCAGATCGCAGCAGACACTCCCAGGATTCTGCCCTTTGGAAAGCAGTGATGCAGCTAGAGTGCCCCAAAGAGCCCATGCACCAAGTCGGCTGGTCTCCCGGCTATGGCCAACCCCCAGAACACATGCAGGTTCACCCTCCCACCACAGGAGGCACCCTGCACACCGCTCTCACCTTGAAGTGTCTCAGGCTGTAGACGTTGATCTCCCAGTCCCCACCAGCGGCAGCCAGCCAGTCCCCGTCCGCGCTCGCTGCCAGCAGGTACACAGCCTCGGTGCTTCCTGCAGGAGAGTCAGAGCGGCCACACTGCTCAGCACCAGTCGTTTCCTCTCTAGCCCCATGGGGGTGCAGGGCACCCCAAATCCAGCCCCGGCCCAAAGCCATAGGGGATCGCTGTCCCCCACCAGGCTCTTCCTAGGGGTGCATGCACCTAGTCATAGTGACCTCGGCAGAGGTCACATCAGGGCACTGGGGGCAGATTGGTGAGCAAACCCGGCAGAGTCCGAGGGAGTGTGGACGAGACACGCTCCATTTCAGGAGTGAGGGGGAGTAGCTCCAGGGTACTCTGGGCATCTCAAATGGGGGGTAGGCGTTCATAGGCTGCCCCAGGGAAAAAAAATGCCCCCCCACCAGCAAAGCCCCAGGGAAGGCAGTGGGGCTGGAATGGCTCAGCCCAGGGCTAGCCTCCCTACTGCCCCAGGCACAGGTTTGGGGAGAGCTGGGGATCCTTTGAAATTTGCTCCCACCTGCAGCCACCCAGGAGCTGCAGGGAGTGCATACCTGAGTTTGGGCGGAGGGTCTGCAGGTGCCCGCAGCCCCCTGGCTCCAGGAGCTTGAGGACATGAACGGCACCCTGATCGGAGGCCACGAACAGACTGGTGGAGTCGGCGGAGCACAGGAGCTGGTGGGCTGAGCACAGCAGCTTGGGCACCTTGGAGACCTTGGAGAGGGCAGGAGAGCGGAGTCAGGGCTCACTTCCTACGTGCAGGTGGCAAGGCACACCCACTGCTCAGGGCTCCATGGCCCTCCAACTGGCTACAAGGGAGCACTGGACCGAGGTCCTTCCCTTCCCATCGCGGTCCCCCCTCCCCCACCCCATCACACAACTCGCAATCCCACAGAACCCATTCTAATGCCGCCCCATCATTGTGACATCAGCAACGGTCAGTCAGGGCAGCCCCCGACAGCAGGGCCTGTACTCACCCTCTTGACACTGACGCTGCCGTTCTCCAAGTGCACTCTGTGCAGATGAAGCCTGGAGGCCGTGGAATAGGCGATCCAGCTGCCACACAGCGAGATGCAGCTGCAACAGATGTGCTCCGGGCCCTGGGAACCACACAGAGAGCTGAGGCTGGGTTGGCCAGCAGCCACCGTCTGTATTAGCCCCAAAGGTACCTGCACCCCACACGCAGACGGGTGCCCTCATTTAACGGTTGGGAACAGCTGCCAGCAGAACTGCACTGCGGAGGTCAGAGGGGCTCTCCCCACGGGAAGGAGTCCCATAACAGCCATGCTTTCCCGCACACATCCTGGGGAGTGTGGGGTGCGTCTGCCCTTCGCTGTGGGACTGTCACATGCTGGGCCCCTCTGGGACCAGGACTCTCAGTAATCAGACAAATCAGCTGCAGCTCGTCCCAGCAAGAGGGCGGAGGCAGGGCCGGCCAGAGAGCGAGAGCTGCCCGTGGGATGGCAGGGCCTGCCTTCCCCACCACCCGGTCTCCCCTTGCTGTCAGAGCCCGATGCTCTGTGCAGAGCGTTCCAGCCCCCAACCTGCCCCCTGCGGCAGCCGGGGCAACCCACTCGGCGCCCTCTAGCTCCCGTACCCAGGGGGGCTCGACAGCAGACACGGCCGCGAGGGAGCGCAGTGCAGCGGGACTCAGAGAACGGGCCGGTAGCACAGTGCTCCTGCCTCACAGCATCTGCCAGCGACTCGGAAGTGCCCTGGGCCGAGGAGGCCACAGACCGGGCAAGGCTCACTCAGTGGCCAAGCCGCACTGTTACTCTCTCTGACTCTCCTGTAACTCTCACGCCACCCCAGGCGCAGCACATGTGAAAACTTATAGCTGGGGACAGCTGGGGCCTAGGCCAGGCCCAGCCACCAGGGCAATGGGGAGGTGGCACCCCCCCTGGAGAAGTTGCTCAACCTTACCTTGCTCTTCAGCTGCAGCAAGTGCTCAGGGGCACGGGAAACTGGCAGGATATCACCATCCTTCCCTGGGAGAAGAACCAAGAGCACTTAGTGCCGATGCTGCTTGAGGAGCTCAGCATAACTCAGGTCACTACCGAACCCTCCACAGCACAGACGGGGAGAGACTTACTGATGATCCGTCCTGGCCGGAACCCAGCACCTCCCACAAGATGCCAGGAACCGTAGCAGGAGGGGGGAGCTTTGCCCATAGAGGTGCCCACCCCATGGCTCAGCTCTGCCACACTGAACTCTACTGAACCATTCCCGGCACTTGTGCCAACCCTCCGTGACACACGCTGGCACACCAGGGATTTGGTGTGTCACGTGACATTGAGTACAGTGGTTTTATGTGGGCAGCACATGATTTCTGCTTGCCATGTGCAAGCAAGAGAGGGGAGTGGCACCAGCCCCCCAGCCTGTGCCCAGAGTGGGGAACGCTTCCTAGTGTCAATTATCAGGATGCTACCTAGGCCCCTGCATGTGGCTGAAACAGCTGATTAACAGGCAAGAGGTTACGCTGAAGCCAATCCATTCAGGCCCCTCCCAGGCTCTAAGAGTCCCAGCGGGGCCAAGACAGGGGCTCTTTGACCCTCCAGTCACAAAACTACATCTCGACTTCCTAGGCCAAGAGCATTCTCTTTTTGGAACCTTCTTCAGGCTGGACTCAGCTGCTGGAAACTGACACACTCGAGAGACACAGGCAGCGGTGGGCACTTCCTGCAGGCCATGCCGGCAAGGCACAGCCATCGTTGCCCTCTCTGCCAAGGCTGACAAAAGGGGGCCGGTTAGAGACCACAGGGGAGGAGGGGGTTGGTGACGTTGACACTCGCCCCTAGGAATTGCACTGGACTCGTTTCATGGATTTGCTAGAAATTCCCTTTCGGGCACTTCACTCTGCCAGATCCCAAGGACAGATTTGGTTTTCAATCAGCGCTTGGGAGCCCTCATGTGGTCTTACCTGCTGAATTGGTAGCTCCGAGTCTCCAGAGCTCCAGGTGTTGGGGGAACTGGAAGAGGAGGAGCCCGGCCTTCTTAGCGCATGAGACGAGGCGTCGCTGCAACCAACCAACAGTCAGACAGTTACGAGGTCCCCAGGTAACAGGGCAGGGCGAGGCAAGCCAGGCCAGCGGCCGGACAGCCCAGCACGCACAGCTCCTATTTGTGGGTGCAGAACCCCCCAGGGCGATGGGCACCCACATGGCACGTGGGAAGCCGGCCAGGCAGTCTGGAGCACAAGAGGTATCACTCAGCACGTTCTGATGCCCGTTCTCCCCAGCAGGTCAGCAAGTGGCACGGGCCATCCCCAGCAATGGGACTCCCCAGCCAGCACAGCACCCCACTGGAGCCGGGAAGGGTGAAGAGGGACCAGGCTGACAGTCCAACAGGGAAGGGCCGGCTCTGGAGCAACCCCAAGAGCAGGAGTGACCCAGGCCTGCATTTCTGGGGACCTCAAAGCAAACGGGAGTCAGTGGCTCCGGCAAGGGACTTGGTGAGCGGGGCTACAGAGGCAGAGCTCACGGGGCGCGGCACTCACATGGGGGAAGGTGAATTTCCGGAGGGCAGCATCATAGCCCTTTCCATGCACCTTCTCCATGAGCGGGCGGATCACCAGCTGGGCATCCAGGCCTGAAAGAGGAGGAGACACCCAGGTGGCTAAACTGTGCTGAGCAAAGGCCAGAAGCGATCAGAGCCCCACTTCTAGGCTGGTGCAGCTTCCTCACCCCGTACCTCCAGAGATGAGTGCTGTCGCGCTGTGTGCCACGGCCCGCACGTCATGGGTGTGATGCTGGAACGGCTTCGTCCGCACCCACTTGCTCTCAGCACTGCCCCACTTCACCGGCAGCAGCTGGAACTGGTACACTGCCCCCTCCGAAGTGCCCACCACGATGCTGTCTTCCTCCTGCGGGGGGAACCAAACAGCCATAGCTCGCCGTGCCCACAGTGAAGGGCTGGGAAGTGCCAAGGGAAGGGAAGGGATGTGAACCCCCATCGCACTAGGTACTGGACAGAGCCCAACAGCTCCCAAGAGCGTGGAAGATGGGCGAGCTCCCAGCCAGTGCAGCGTCCACCCCAGCAGCCTGCAGTGCCCTTTAACCAGGTGGGGATGGCTCCTGGCCAAGCTGCTCTGGGTCAGCCAGTGTCACAGAAGATGCTGCAGATAAGGGGTGAGATCCCAGATTACTAGCGTCCCTGCGCAGAGCCCACATGGTCACCACCCCTCTGCCCAGCCTACGCACGGGGCCTTCCAGGAGCTGCCAGGCCCTTCCTACCTCAGACACAGCGAGACACAGCACAGCCGAGCTGCTGACTGGGTGGGTCTCCAGGAGGGTTCCTTTCTCCGAGTCCCAGAACTGCACCTTCCCCACCGAATCGGAGCTGACGATGGTGCCGTTGGACAGGAACGCCACACTCCACACCACGCACTCGCGGCTGTACAGCCCCTGCAGGCGCCGGTCCACCAGGATCCGCTGGATGGCATGGCCTGGGAAACAGAAAACCTCGGATAGCAGCGGAGAGGGGGGTTGGGGCCATGGGGAGCTAACAGCTCAGGGTGGGGGCAGGGGCGTGAGCTGGGCCCCTCGTTAACATGACAGATATGCCAGGCTCCAAGCCTCTCCTCCACGGCGATCTGCTCAGAAGCCCCATTCAGCTGCATCAGGAATGCCCGGTACACGGACCAGCAACCCCACCTGGCCTGGAGTCCGCAGGGCACAGCTGGCTCTGTCTGGTGCAGTTGAACTCTGCTGGGGGAAGGGAGTCAGCAGCCGGGCCGCAGGAATGGGAGGGCGACCACACGGCCCACGTGGACATCCCACCAGCACATCTGGCACTCAGGGGCACCTGGACGCTAACACTCCCCACTACGCCTCTGCTGGGCGCTCCTAGTCACCTGATTTGACGTCGAAGACTCGGAGAAGGTCGATGGAGCCAACGGCAATGCGGGTCCCAGAGGGATGCCAGGAGAGGGACATGACACGTCCTGGAGAATTACACAGCAGGGCAGGAGACCTCACATGAGCCAACCCAGAGCAATGCCCCTCACCCCCAACCTTCAGTGCAAGCCTGCACTCAGCAATTGCCTGGCAGTGCCACGGGGCAGAATCCCCAGCCTTGGGTGGCAGAAATAGAAGGTGCTGTGCCTTCCCAATAGGGGCGAGGGTACAGGGCTGGGACAGGCTAAGCTAGAGGACAGTTCGGAAGCAGGGTCAGCTGGGTCCATGGGAGGCTGACACGTTTCTCTCAGAGAGGTGTGCACCAGCCTCCCCGTCACCACACCCACACCCTGGACTCCTGAGTGACCACATTGTCCCTTCTAACTGCCCTCCGCCCACAAGACCCCATCCATGGCCACCTGACTGGGGAAGAGGGCAGACTGTGACTCCCGCTGCTCAGAGTGGGGCCTCTGGAGGGCTCCCTGGTGGCAGTGGGTCCCACCTGAAGCAGATTCAACTCATCTTAGTTGTTTCTTTGGAATGGAGAACACAAGTCCCACGGCTGACCCAGGGCAGGCGGGGCAGGCTTCAGAGAGAGCTGCGGAGGACCAGGCTTGGGGCATTTAAAGGGAGCGGGAAGTAGATTCTGTAGCCTCCCCTTCATCACTCCCCCCAACCACAGCTTTCCCCATCAGCCTCTGCCATGCTCTGTCCCCATCGAATCTACCTTTCTGCCGGTCCAGGCTCCTCTCAAACTGGATTTTATCAGGCAAGACTTGGAAAAGCTTCACTGACCCGTCCTCACAGCCAACCTATGGAGGGCAGGCGAGCGAGGAGACAACACGAGAGAGAGATGATTAAAGCCCTTATTTGGCTCACGTCCCACCTGTCTGCTGCCAAGGGCAGGTAGTGACGGGCTCCCCAACTGCCTGAACATGGAAGCTCAGAAGCAAAGTCAGTTCAGCTCCCAGCACAGTAGAGTGCTTGGCACAGCGACCCAGCAAGGCCAGGACGGCGCCGCACTGCCAGCCCGGCCTGCCCCACTGTTTGGTGAGGAGTATTGCTTAGCACACAGAACTCCTCTACCTCCATCTCCACAAAGGGAAGAGATTGTACCACAACTCGGCTTCCTGCTGGTCAGAGATTTACATTCAGCCTCTTCTGCGCTCTGGAAGGGCCCGGGGCTGGGCAGCCCGGACTCTGGGCTGAAGTAGTTCTGAGAACAAATTGCCCTTGGGCCTCGTGGGCACAGCTCACCACCACTCAACTATGATGCCACCCACCCGGCTCTCTATGCCCACCCCCCCCAGCCCCCGCCCAGATGCACTGCTCACAGCCCATCAGCGGCGGGGGAGGGGGAGGGGAAGGAGAGCGGAGCCCCACAGTCCCTACCCCACACTGCCATCTGTGGTAGTGGGAAGGGGCTCTGCACACCCACCCACGACAGGGGGAAGAAGATTCTGCAGTCCCCACTCCATCACTCCCTGGAACCAACATGTATGATTCTCCCCCTCCCCTAATCTCAGCACTGTCTGTGGCTTGCACCAAGCAGTCCCACAGACCCGGTCCATCATGCCTTGTGAGGCTGGACAGCAGTGTAGCACTGAAGACAATCCGAGTATGCACCTGGGTTTCAGAACACCAGGGAGCTTGCTAGTTGGGAGCAGCAGCAAGGGAGGCAGACCTCATCTGCTCCATAGGCCAGCAGGAGCCAGAAGTGACATCCTGGCCCAATGGCAGAACCAAGCTACAGAGCTGGCAGGCTTCCCCGGGATCTTCCAGCCAGAGGTACTCACTGCTAGCTGAGTGCCACTGGGATCAGCCGCCATGCTCCAGATGGGGCCCCCAAAGCCATCCAGGGAGTACTTGACTCGCAGCTTCTCTAAATCATACTCGCTGATGTCGCCGCCCAGGCCTGCTCCGAAGAGCCGATCCCCAGCTGTCCAGCACAGCGCCTCTGTGGATCTCGTCTCATGGCCTGGGATACCCTGAAAAGATGCACAGATGAATCCCACCATCCCGCTTCCCCTGGAAGCGAACCGGGCTCAGACAGCCCAGGACAACGTCTCATTTTGTGTCCCCCATCCTCTGCTCCTATGGAATTCCCCTACCTCAATCCCCAGTGGGAGGGCCAGGGCTGAGAACGCCCCCAGTCAGTGCTCCCTCTACACCAGCTAGTAGAGGTTAGTCACTCCCAGGCAGCCAGTACAGCTGTACCCTTCCCTATAGCGCTGCCTGCTGGGACGGGCCCCAAGCTCCTCCACTAGCCCCCAACGCGTGGCCAGATCAGTGAAGCCACTGGGCCCCGGGCGAGCAGGTTGGGCTGAATCAGCCCCGGAACACTGTCCTGAGCAGCTCCCAGGCCCACCCCCCGGGCACATTTCTGACTCCTCCATCACCCCAGGGTTTTGGGGGGGTCAGGAATGTTCCATTCCCATCCCTGTATGAAATCTCGCCCACTGGGGGGTTGCTTGGTTAGCTGGAGAGACCCCCGTGCCATCGTGAGCGAGAAACTGAAGCCCAACAAAGCCAATGACACTCACCGCTGTGTGCTACACACGAGGCAAGGGTGACAGCTGCCTGCTCGGGGTGCCCCGGGGTCCAGACTGCGGCTGGGGCAGGTGAAATCCCAGAGCTGCGGGGGGCCGGTGTCCTGCTCGGGGGGGGGGGGCGGCTAGGACCTTCTCCCGGCCCCACGCACGCCCCAGTGGGCGCTCAGGCTCCAGCTAGGGCTCCCCCACCCCCGGTTCTCTCCCCAAGGCACAGGCTGGATTCGGGCCGGGATGGCAGCTCTGGGTGGGGGCTGCCCATGGGTTTCCGGAGGCGGGACCCCCACCCCGGCTCCGGGCGGCCCGTTACCTTTTCCTGGAAGTAGTTCGCAGCGAAGTTGTAGACCTCGAGGGCGCCGTCCGTGCGGGCCAGGGCGAGGCGGGCGGAGCGGGGGCTGTGAGCCACGCAGCGGATCCCCGCGGGCACGTAGGCGAAGAACCGCACCCGGTGCACCTGGAACTCCCCCATCCCGCCCCGGCGGCCCCCGGCTCCCGCACCGAGGCCGGCCTGAGCCGACCCTGCGCCCCGGGGTGGCCCCGCGCAGGCGGCGGGGGAAGGAGAGGTTCTCCCGGCCGGCCCGGCTCGCTCCGCTCCGCTCCGCCTCCTCCAGCTCCTCCCCACGTGCGCGCCCTGCAACCCGGAACCGGAAGCGAGGGGAAGGGTCCGGCCGGGCGGAAGTGCGCAGCGGCGGGAGGTTCGGTTGTTGCCGGGAGACCAGGCAACCCCTGCTCCCTCGCCCGGGCCTGCTGCGTCGACGGCCCCTCCTGCAGGTCGGGACGAGGGACCCCGGGGCGAGGGGTGATGGTGGGGGCCCGTCGGGGGGAGGGGCGGTGGTACAGGGATGTTGGTGGGGGGGAGAGGATGTGAACGGGAGGGGGGAGGGGTAAGTGAAGGGGGGCTGGGGAAGGATGAGTGGGGGAGGGCTGGGGGAGGGGCTAGTAAAGGGGCTCTGGGGAAGGATGAGGAGGGGAGGGCTCTGGGGAAGGATGGGGGAGGGTGATGAGGGAGGGGCTCTGGGGGAATGGTGGGGGAGGGGCTAGTAAAGGGGTTCTGGTGAAGGATGAGGAGGAAAGGGCTGGGGGAGGGGCTCAGGGAGGGTGGTGGGGGAGGGGCTATCAAAGGGGCTCTGGTGAAGGATGAGGAGGAAAGGGCTGGGGGAGGGGCTCGAGGGAGGGTGGTGGGGGAGGGGCTAGTCGAAAGGGGCTCGTGGTGAAGGATGGAGGAGGAAAG